ACCAGCAAGGCCAGCACACAGGGCATCACCATCACCCTGAGGACCACTCCCTCCCCCTCCCCCATTCCTCTCCTCCAGCCTCCTTAGCCCCTAGCAACCACTAATCTGTTCTGTTTTTACAACTTTGTCTTTTTAAGGCTGCTTAATAAATGGAATCAGACTTGTGCTACCTCTTGATAGTGTTGGGGTTGGTTTCTATTGCTCGATGTAATTCCCTAGCATTCCATCCACACTGTTGTATTTATCAAGGTTCGCTCCTTCCCTTATGGAGCCCCGTATTTTGTTGCATCGTTCATTGCTTGAAGAATCTTGGCTTGTTCCCAGTCTAGGACATGTTAGGAATAAATTTGCTATGCATATTTGTGTAAAGGTTTTTCTGTAAATATATATTTTAATCTTTCCAGGTTAAACATGTAGGGTGCCGTTGCTAGATCCTGTGCTAATTGCATGCCTGGTCTTGCAAGCTATGTCTTAGTTACTTTTCCTTGACCACTGAGACAAAATACCCAACACCCAAAGTCAAAGGGAGAAAGGTTTATTTAGCTCACAGTTTTTACAGAATTCAGTCCATAGTCAAGTGGCTCCACGGCAGGGTGGCATATGGCAGAAGGGCGACCATTCACAGTGGTGGAAAACAGAAAAACCAGCCAGCAAGGGGGAAAAGGAGGAAAGAAGCCTCTTTCATCTTATCCAGACTTCTGGGATTAGGGCAGTGCCAATCCAGTCAGTGGACTGGTCCAGCAGCCACTCAGCCTTAATCCCAGCACTATGAGTCAGTCACAGACTCAGCTACCTGCAAAAAGGCCTTTGCCCTACCCATGACTGCATGAGGCTATGAGGAGTCATCTAGACACATACCATAGCAAGCTGCTGTCACACTTTCCAGACTGGACGCACTATTTTACACCACTTCTAGCAATGCATAAGCCATTCATTTTCTCTGCATTCTCACCACTTTGGCTGTGGTGCCCATTTGCTTTACTTGTGTAATGATATTTTGCCATGGCTTAGTTTGCATTTGTCCAGTGGCTAACAAAACTCCAGTTCCATTAGCTAACCCTAACCCTAACCCTAACATCTTTCCATGTATTTATTTGCACACATATCTATATCATCTGCAGTGAAATGTCTGTTAGTGTCCTCTAGTTTTCTGACTGCATTTCTTTTTTCTGTTGAGTTTTGAGAGTTCTTGACGCATACTAGATATTATGCCTTGTGTGTAGATTTTTCCCCCAAAGACTCATGTGGTCATAGGTGGGGCTTTGCAGAAGTGAGTGTGGATAATGGGAAAACCCAACTTGGGTGTGAGTGCGATACTCCCTAAGGGTGTGCATCCTGGATAGAATACAAGGGACAGAAAGGGGGCTTCAGTCATTGTTGGCTGCATCACTTGATGTTGGTGCTTGCTGGCTTTGCTGTCTGCTGCCTGCCATGAACAGTTTCTCCTCTGTGAGGCCCCTCTGCCATGCCACCGTGCTTTGGAGGCACTTGATTATGAACTAAAACCTTTACAAAATGTGAGCCAAAATAAATCTCTCCTCCTTTAACTTTGGGTGTCAGATATTTTGTCTCAGCAACAAGAAAAGTAATCAAGACACTAGCTATCAGTTCTTTGTTGGATATATGGTTTCTGAATACTTTTTGTTACTTTGTAAGTTATCTTTACTCCTCTGGCTGGAAGCTTTAAAAGAAAACCTTTATAGATCATGCTTTTTGTGTCAAGTCAAACAACTCTTTACTTAATCTTAGATCTCAAAGGCTTTCTCTAATTTTTTGTACAATGAACTTCAGAAAAAGCTGCTCATGACTACAGGACATGTTGCTGGGGTTGTGATGAGAATTGAATTGGCCCTATAAATTAATTTGGGAGCAGTGACATCTTTATTATTTTCAATTGATTAGTTCACTTTTGCACTACAATTTGATGCTGAATACATAGGTGTATCGACAACCTCATTCCAATAGCGTGCTAGCACATAGCAGGGACTTACTAAATATTCATAGAAGGGAAGGAGAGCAAGGGAAAGCTTAAAGATTCTGGTCCACTGGCCCCCAAATCTGGTCATACAAACAATCATCTGCTAAGCCTTAAAAAATGACTTATTTCTGGGCTTCATCCCAAGTCCTACCGATTCAAAACCTCAGGCGTAGGGCGAGGTAATCTGCCCCCCATCCCCGAAGTTGATTCTCACACATGGGCAGGTTTGAGGGTGTTTGGAGGAAGTGGAAGCAGTGCTCGGGGTGCGGGGTGCAGGGTGCAGGGGTGCAGTGTGCCCTGGGAGGCACCATCCTTCCTGACATTGGCCCCGAAACCAAGCTGCCAAGGAGGGCACTCGTTCCATTTGATTCTGTATCATTCACTCCTTCTCCAGGGCAGAAAAAAGCAACCAGAGTTCAAAATGGTAAACACGGTCACGTATTCACTCCATTGCCTACTTGGTTAATGCCCTAATTGTGAAGCCCTGAAGCTTGAGGAAATCTAAAATAAGACGGTTCGGTTCCCATGGTGCCAAGTATGTTCCAGGTCTACTTATTTTGTGCCTTTGCAAATTCACATGGTTTAATTTTGGGGGTAAGGGGTATCAGGAATCGAACTCATGACCCTAACGCTTGCCAGGCAGGGGCTGCACTGCTGAGCCATATTCCTGGCTAATTATATGGCTTAATTCTTGTCATGGTGACAGTCATCTGTCTTAAGAGCATGCTGGATCTACTATTTTGCATTTCTCAATATTCCCATAAAGGGGCCAGGGATTTAGCTCAGCGGTATGAGCACCTGCCTGGCAAGCGTGAGGTCCTGAGTTCAATTTCCTGTCTCGATAAGAAACCCCAATATTCCCATATTATTTTTCTTCATATAATCATTAGGACCAATGTGTTAAGTAAAAAAGAAAAATCACTTTAAAGGAATATATAACTGTCTGGAGTTGTATAGGAAGGATGCAGAAGAGTATCAAAACAGGTTTCCCCAGGGGTTTTACACAAAACCCCTGAACAGGTTCCTCACAGCAAACGGGGGCACTGTGAGAACCCTAGAAACTCCATCCGCGAATGGGGAAGCTGCATGCATCCAGGAAGTGTGTACCAGGCCCTTGCCCAAGGCGCCTTGATGAAGAGGTTGGTTCCCAACTCCTTTCTCCAGGAGAACCCCCATCCCGCAGCCCAGCACACACACAGAACTTCCCTTGATGGGAATCCCAGCGCTGTTCACAACGAGCCCCAGAGATGGCAGGCCACCTCCTTTAGAATTAGCCCTTAACACCGCGGCCAGTGGCTCTTCCCAAGGCGTCTCCTTTCCTGGTGACAGAGCTGGTGGGCACATTCCCTGGACCAAAGCCATCTGAGGTCTCATCCACCACAGGGATCACCAAACAGAAACCCCGAGGTCCTGCCCCAGGAGACTGTCTGCTCTGTGTCCACCTAAAACAATACACAGCTTTTAGTGGGTGGCTTTATCCTCTGACCTGCACCCTTCCCTAAATCGAATCGTTCAGTCTATCCCGCTGAGCTGTGGGCTTAATGGATCTGTTTATTTTACTTATTTATTTAGTTTGCCTCAAGAAAGAGAAATGGAACCCTCAACCCTCATGCACTCGTAGACGGCCCCAGGAGGGATAAAAATAGCTAGCACTTTGAGGGTCTAGGCACATGTTGTCACCTAATGCTCACAGTGACAGCAGGAGGCAGGTCTGATTGTCTCTGGGGATGGACGGGCAGCTGCATCTTGGTTTAAATGTCATTTGCTGCAGGTCATCCAGCTAGTGGGGGCAGAGCCGAGCTTGGAGCTAGACTCTGGCCCTTCCCAAATGGCCCAGACCCCACTTCTCTGCTCTGTGCCTGGGCCTGTGGTCCTTCATTCCCGCCTCTGACCTCAGTTCCTATGGTCAGAGAAGGCCCAGCCTCCCCTTTTCAACTCCCAACCCCAAAGCAGCCCAGTGGGGATGATCTCCCTGCTCCCCCGTTTTGTGAAACCATAATGTGCCTTCCCACTTCTGGCAGGGGGTCCGCTTCCTTCACAGATGCCCAGCACCACCTTCAAAGCCTTGGAATCATCCTGTTAACCTGCTGTTTCCTGTTTCAGATAAGAATGGTGCTTTGAACGCTCCATCTGAATTTAAAATATCTACTCTCCTTATCAGCTTTCCTGCTGTCCTCCTCTGAGAATCCAGTTCAGTCACTCACCGGCAAAACCCGCTTTCATACAGCTGGGGAGCTGCGGCTGGGACACCATGGGCCAAAGCCACAAAGCCTCAGTCACTTACAATGGGCCGTGGAAATAGGTTTATATGAAAGCTTCTGGGATGGTCAGCAATTTCTGCACCATGCCTCCACCCCTTGATTTTACTAGACTGTTGGTTGCTTGCCCACCTGTCCAGAAGTTAGTTAACCTCCTCCACTCCAGGACCACGGCCTGTGCGACATTGGACCCTCCTTTCTGTGCTCCCCACCCCCAGCCTGGTGGCCCCAGGGTCTCACGCTCAGGGGCTCCTGGCACTAATAGCTTGTACTGTCTTGATTCCTTTCTGCACCAGCACTGCCATGCAGTGAGAAGGCCCTGCTGCCCCGACACGAGACCCCTCTTGGATGTTTACCCAGCACGGGAGGGCACTGGGCAGGAGGGCCCTAGAGAGGAAGAGCAGGGCCTGAATTCCTCTCCTGCATAAAGTGAAGGCAATGATAGTCCCACTTTATAGGGTCATTGTCACAGAACAAGGACCGTGGTGGGCACTCAATGGAAATGGCGGCTAAGGTGTCCCCAAGGGGCCACCAGCAGACTCAGTGACACCCACAGACCATCACTCTAGTCCACGTGGACTCAGAACACAGAGCCCTGGGGCGGGCTCAGCCGCACCCCTCCCAGACCGCACGGGACCCACCTGAGGGCAGCGTCACTGTGTCCTCGGCCTCCTCCAGGTCTTCCCATTCACTCTCACTCCCCTGACTCGCTTCCAGAGGCCAGGACCGTGGACAAGTGTGCCCAGGACAGAACTGTGGCAATGGGATGGTCCCCGAGTCCACCTCCAGACAGTCTCCACAGGGCAGCTGATCTTCGCACGCACAGCGGATGGTCAGGTACTCTTTGTCCTCCCAGGAGATGGAGAGGGCTTCTGGTGGATAGCACGTGTCTCCTTCAACAGGGTCCCTGCCCAATCCCAGACCAGAAAACAGAAACTGTGTGTCTTCCAGCCTTGGTCAGGAGCTCCTCGCCCTGCCTTCCCTTGATGCATCAGGTGAGACCCAGCCAGGGTTCAAGCAGCTTTTGCCAGAAGTGGTAGTGGGCACAGGGAAGCAAACAGCAAAGGCGTGGATCCTGTCCTGAAGGAGGCCCCAGTGTCATGAGAACAAAGAGCGGCACACACGTCACAGTCCAGGCAGAAGACAGATGCAGGAGAGCGCCATGAGAGCAGCAGGCAGCTTTCCAAGCCCAGGGGACCACAGGGGAATTGTAGGGGTGCAGCATGGCAAGCAGACCTGTGCCCAGGTCTCGCACAGATTTTCCACACGGTAAGCAGAGCTGTGCAGAGCCTGGATGAGTTTATTAACTCTACTAGCACCTCAATTTTCTAAAAAAAAAAAAAAAATCAGGGAGTCCTGAGCCGCACAGGGGAGTTAGGATGCTGACCTAAAGGAGCCCGTTCCCAGCTCCCTGGCGCCTGGCACATGGTGAGTTTGCGGCGGGTGTGAGAGGCTGTCATGACTGTAACAGTGACAACTATTCTAGCAAGGGCTGAGAGGGAAAGAGAAGGACTCAGGAGCCGCTCAGGCGGGCGACCGTCAGAGCACTTTGTGCAAATATCAGGTCTGGGTCTAAGCCCTGAAAAAATGCCTATTTAGCAAAGCAGCCAGCTAGAGTGACATTTACTCCCCGTATCATAGGAAGGACAAAGGAGGCAGAGGAACAGTGTGGCTTCTTATCTAGGGAGGCAGCTGCAGATGAAGAGGTGGCAAAATGAACCTTCCGGGGCTGCCCCCGGTGGCACCCCACCCCGGGCAGCGGGCTCTGGACAGCACAGGAGACCTGCAGAGAGGCGCTCAGAAAATATCTGTAGCAAGTCTGGTGAGAGAGGATGAGAGCGACAATCTGAGAGAAAAGCACAGAGGTTAGTTTTGGCCAAATCCCTGGATCCTGGTTTCTCAGTCTCCTCCCCCAACCCCGAATCAATGAGTTGCATTTGTTACCCCCGCCACACCTCTCCACCCCCCCTCCCCAAAGTGCCCTTCAATTTTCAAATTGGCTCTGATGCCCCTTGATAGGCACAAGCCGCCACCCAAACACCCCAGGCCATCTGCCCCCAGCTGAGTTCTGCTATGAAATGGACATGATTTAGGCTCATGAGCTAGAGGGGACGTGGAAAAGTGCATTTGATGTGAATGTATGCACGCCCACATGTGTAAAAAAGGTTCTACGTGGACTACATAAAGAGAAACATTTGCTTTCAGGAAAAAAGTATTCAAAAATTGCCAAGTGCTTGGAGGGAAAATTGATTTAAACATTTAAAATACTTGCCCAGGTTATATAGAAACTGCGTTTCCTATAAAAGGGGGGAGGGCTGGGGCATAAGCACCAGCGGCATAAACACCTGTTTTGCAAGCTTGCAGTCGTGAGTCTGATCCCTGGTACCAATTAAAAAAAAAAAACTGCTTCCTTATAAACACAGAAAAGAAATATTCAGGGAGTTTGTCAAGAAACAGGAAACCAGACCTGCTGCCCAGGAAGGCCCAGCCCCTGCGCCTCACCCTGAGAGCGCACAGCACCGCTGCCCACTGGCCACTGTGCCACCTGGCTGTCCCCAAGTCACCCTCACCTCTTCACACACACACACACCCCCCTTTCTAGTGAGTGCTCTAGCTTTCCTGCAAGGCTGCAGCTGCTGGTGCTACCTAGAAGAGACCTGAAGGCCACCAGCCTCAGGGATAACAAGCACTCGGGAAACCCATCCAGGGGGACTTGGTGGCCCTGAGGGCCAAACCAGCCTCTCTGTCCTCCCATGTCCCGGAGAACAACAGCCCTTCCTCCTACCCTTCCACACATGCCACCAGGCTGCCCTTGGAGATCTGACCTTGAACTTGACCCTGGGCATGGGAAAATGTCAGGGAGGAAACAAGGGGCACTAGGGGGACTGTGTGCACCCCAAGGCAGAGCCTATTTCATGGAAAGGGCAAGACGTGGTGATCTGAGAGATTTTAAGGACAGTGACGTTCTTCAGCGCAAGCCCAGGAGTGTGGCATGTGGATGCGGCAGGTGACAAGGCAGGATCCTACACTGGGGCCACTCACGGCCTCTAGGACAAATGCAGCTTGACTCCAGGGCCTCACCCTCTCCGCCCAGCCAGCTTCCACCTCCTCAGGCAGTCTCAGCTCCTGGATACACACTGCACAGAGCATAGGCCATAAATACAGGTCTTTAGGTTTTATGTGGGCTCAGTCAGTGAAAAAATGATTTGCTCCTGTAGCTGGGAAGCATACAGCATCACACTATCCAAAGTGATGCTCAAGAGTAACGTGGCTTAATGTGATTTTCACCTCCCACCCAAATTTTAGGAACTAACCTTGCATAGGGTGCATCCCAGCCAAACCCTGCACAGCAGGCCCACAGCGCCCAGCTTCCCTCCACCACCTATAACATATTTACAGTCCTTCTTTGTAACCCCATGTTTTATAAGCATCTACTGCAACATGATTTTTAGAAATCTCTAGGAATAGAATCTAAAAGAGCATGAAAAATAAAAAGTGAAATATAATCTTCTGAAAACATTCTCTGGGTTTCCTGGGGTGCTGGTAGCCATCTGGTGTTAGGAAGTGGCCACCTGGCAATAGACGATCTGGCAGTTGGACGGGAATTTCAATTGATGAGACCTGTCTGTTAGCTAGAAATAGCCTGGAAGAGGGACAGATACAGACTCGTGTTGGGTCCTACTGTGTGACTGCTGCTGTGATGTGCTTTTCTGCACAGTGACCTGCACAGTGACTCGTGCAGTGGCCACGGTCCTTGTTTGTCACTAGGAAGGGACATCAGCCCTCCAGGCACACCACTAAGTGGCTAAGGTGAAAACGAGCCCTGTGATCCCAAAGCTCATGCTGTTTTGATTCTAAGCTACATAAAGCGATTTGACTCAGATGTCAGAAACGAAGAGGTTACTGGCCTTAGAGAGCCAGCTCGGAACTGTGGACGCATCTAAGGGGGTCTGCAAAGAGCCATCGTCCCACCCTGAGATCCTAATTCTGAGCTACATGGGAGTGGGGACTGCCACGGGCGACTGCTGGGCAAGTGCCGCACCTCCCTTCCTGTGGGGGTGGTCACTAGCTACCTGCATGGGGCACAGGCTAAGGTCCTGTGGAAGGGGCTCTCAGGGGCTGGGTCCTTCTGTCAGGGGTGTGGAAAGATTGTCCAGTGGGAAAGAGGGAATAAGGTTAAAAGAAGCCAAGACATGCGCAGCAGAGCTGCTGCCCGTGGCCGCATGGACCACACAGCCAGCGATCAGGGGCTCTGCTAGAATGCTCACAGCGCTCTCGTGTGACCCTCCAAAGAGTCACCCTTCCAAAAATGACAGATTTGGGACATCTGGTACACCCTGGCAATAAGAACACAAAGCCAAATTTAATTTGATTTAGAAAAACTAAATAATGTGATGATTTGTGCAAAAAAAAAAAAAAAAAAAAGACACAAGGAGGTGGATTTCTGAGCATTTTCTGAGCAGCAACTGCATGGTGAGGACATGGGTCACCTCGGAGGGCCCTGGAGATAGCCAAGCCAAAGCCGAGGCTGCCTAAGAGCAGAAAGTTACGGTGCAGATTCCGGCATAGAGTAGGAGGTCAGATCCAACCATTTGACACTGAACAGCCTGACAGCCCATGACACCAGGAATGAAACACTGCTTGCATATGCTGGTAGTTACTAAATAACTATTAATAATAATATCTATTTGAAGGAACTACTAAGTATGTTGGAATATAGGCACATGGCAGGTGTAGAATCCGGAACTACTTTGTAATCCAGCAGGCAGGGTACCTGACCATCCTTCCAAACTCTCTGGTGCTAAAATCTTTAAAAATACAAACCAGTGTTCCCTTGTCTGCAGGGAAACGGGTTTGTATATGTCCTGCAGGAACATGCTAATGGCTGCCCTTGGATAAATCCCTGTAGGTTATTCACTTTATTATTCTATCAAGGGTATCTAGCACTACCTAGAGTGCAATCTTGAGAGAAGCTATAAATATATTTGTGCTTCTGCCCACTAGCATGGTGAAAATGAGGGTGACTGGTGGATATGCCAGCTTGCCCTGTTCTACTGCACGAATGGTTGGTTTCTTTGGCCGGTGCAGTGTTCTTCTAGATATTCTATCTGGATGTTTTTGGAAGTGTGTGCCTGGCTCCTGTTTGTCACAGTTCTCCTCCAGGGGCCCGTCATCTAACAATCACCACTGCTGCATACGGGATCCCTCTGTTTTCACAGGGGTGGGGCAGCTGCAGGGCTCCTCCATTCCCCAAGGGCCCAGATGCTGGAGCCCCTTAAATAAACTGTAGAAGTTGTTTGTGTCTAACGTACACATGCTCCACCACACGCTTTAAATCATCCTTAGGTTCCCTATAACTCCAAATATGGTGGAAATGTTATATAAACCATTGTTCCATTGTGTTATTTAGGAGTGATGATAAAAAATCTGTACATGTTAAATCCAGATGCAGTTTTTTTTCTAATATATTCAGTCTAGGGTTGCTTGAATCCACAAATGCAGAACCCAAGGGTCCGGAGAGCTGACTGTATTTCCAGTCCCAAATGAATCTACTCATCAAAGAAGAGCAATTTAATCTCAACAGGTTTGCCTCATGACAAACATAGGTGACACTGGCCTGTCTTGAGCTCATGCATCGAGCTAGCAAATGCTCAAACGTGCAATGCACTAAGTGTGCATTTGTACCCCTCTCTCTGCTCCTAACAGGTTTCCAAGTACTCTGTGTTTGTGTAATACACACCAGCCAGACTGAACTGAGGAGGATGCTTTTCAGACAGCAGGACCGGGAACTAGGTATGCCGGAGGGTGAATGGGCACAAAAATACAGACTAAATGAAAATTGGCTGTTAAAATGGAGGTTTGAGTCTGGGTTTGAAGACAGAAGTGTATTTTTAATGCTTTATTAGCACCAAAGTGAGGATGTGTACTAGAACTGCTTTCAAGGTGTTTAAAAGGCTGTGATGATAAGGACAAAGGTCTGCGAGCTGGGAGAGAACTCAAGATCTGACATCCACAGCCTGCAAAACATCCTGAGGACAATCGAGGCCCGAGTGGGGTTTGCTTCCCCCAAAGCCTACAAGTTATGGGCACAGCGGTTCTAAGCCTGTGCTCCTCTGTTGCCACCTTTCCTCTAAGAGCCCAGAACAGCACAGGGCACAGGACACATCTGGGCATAGTCACTGACCACTTGGTGATAATCATCCAGCAATACAGTACACACGATTTATAAACAATCAGCAAACTCACGAGTCTTACCTGCCAAGTCTCCTGATGTCACACACAGAATAGCAGTTCTGTCTCATATCCTGCTCCAAAGGGCTGGCCGGGGATGGCACCTCTGTCTCTCGGTGACGTTGGCATAGGTGAGGATGGGACTCCAAGGGAAGAGCCAAGGACCTGGCCCTCGGTCTGTCCGTGTCTCGACTCCCTTGTGCCTCTCCAAGAGCCAGGTCCTCTCCTGCCTCTGGGGAGGTGCTGTCCCTCCAGCTGTCCTCCTGGTCCAGGCTGGGGCTCTGCTCTGAGTCAGTACAGGTTGCCCTGGTGAATTCTTTGTCCATTGGTGTCTATTAAAAGCAGAGCCAATGGTTACTGCTTCTATAGTGCACACTGAGAAAGCTCTAAAGTTTGCTTCTTTAAGAAATGAAAAGTTCTCTTTTTTTAAACCATGTTACTGTAGGTCAGAGTAGATAAGAGACAGGCTTGGAGTCAGACTCTCTCCATCAGCTCCCCACCATCTCCCTGTACCCCTGGTAACACACTAAGACTTATCTCTATGCACCTTAGCTTGAGGGCAATGAAAGGGCTCAAGAAATAGGAGCTCTGTGGATTTTTTTAAATGAAAAATACAACAGTTTCCCCCTTATTCATGGATTCACTTTCCATGATTTCATTTATCAGAGCCTAAAAATATCAGCCATGTGTTACAACTTGTATCTAGATATCCTTGGCAAAGCCCCACGCACTCCTAGGCAGGGCTTTGCAGAGGTGGCTGGATCTAGAGTGTGTGATCAGGGAATCAAGAGTGTGTGATTATTAAATTAGCCCACAGATTAGTTTTGCATAGTTCTGGGTAGGATGAAGGGACCCCCGCCCTGGGTGTGAGTGCTACCCGCCCTAAAGACATGTAGCCTGGAAAGATAGAAGGGACAAAAAAAGGGTCCCTTGTGGCTTGCTGTCTTCTGTCTTCTGCCCACCATGACCTGTTCTCCTCTGTGATGCCCCTCTGCCATGCCACTCTGCATTGGAGCTTGTTAGCTATGAACTAAAACCTCTACAAACTATGAGCTAAATAAAACTTTCCTCTTTAACTTTGGGTATTGGGTATTTTGTTTCAGCAACAAGAAAAAGTAATTAAGACACTAGAAAATTCCAGAAATAAATAGTCCATACATTTTAAATTGCAGGCTATTCTGAATCTCATGGTAAAAGCTCAAGCCATTCCATTCCATCCTGCCTGAGATGTAAATCATCCCTCTGCCCCGCATATCCAAGATGCATTCACTACCTGCCCATTAAACACTTCATAGCTGTCCTTGTTATCATGTTAACTATTATAGCATGGTACTGCTTGTGTTCAGGTAACTTTATTATACTTAATAATGCCCTAAAGCACAGGAGTAGTAATTTAAAAGAGGCATCAGAGCCCAGAACTTGGAAGGATAGATTAGTTCATGTCACATAGTAACACTGTGGGGCTTATAGGAAAAAAAAAAATAGTACATAGAGTAGAAATCCCCAACCTCTGGGCTAGGATGGATATCAGTTCATGGCCTGATAGGAACAGGGCCACACTGCAGGAGGTGAGAAGCAGGTGAGCAAGAAGCTCTGTCTGTATTCACAGCTGCTCCTCATGGCTCACATCACAGCCTGAACTCTATCTCCTCTCAGATCAGCAGCGGCTTCCAATTCCTATGTGAACCATGCACTCAAGGATCTAGGTCGCTGGCTCCTTTGAAACCAATCCCCACCCCTTGGAAGATTTGCCTCCCACAGAACCAGTTCCTGGGGCCTTACAGGTGAGACTACTGATATATAAGGCTATTTTCCACTGTTTGAGATATCCCTTGTGGCTCTCAAAGAATATGCTTTGTGAATGAGAACTACTGTATTTGCAAAACTTAGACAAAATTAAAACAGAAGAAAATAAAAACCAATGACTTTGTACCCTCTGTCCAATAAGATTTTGTTTATTTGTTCATCTTTGCCTGTTACCATGGACCAGTCTGCACTGAAACACATGACTGTTTCCCCAAATACGACTTAATTCCCCTCTGCTGTTCACTGCCCTGTTGGCTCTGTGGTTCTGTCTAGGCTCTGCTGCAATCGTGACCTACGTTTCGTTGGACTCTAGACTTTGTCCCCAACACACCCTCCTCAGCTTTCTGATTCCAGCCACAAGTGTGGTCTTAGAGCTATTTCACAACTCAAAAGACAATTACGTTCTTTGAAATCGCGTTTGAACCAGTTTTAACATCTGCCTGCTTCCCTCTGTGAATGAGTGTTTAAACATCTTTAGCATTTGCTCATATATAACTCTACAGGGTCACGATTTTGCCTTCTCCTGAAAACTGGGCTGGCACTTGCATCCCATCATGTACATCTGGGCATAACAAAGCCCCTCCACTCCTACCACTCAGGGAGGGATGTGCCCCCACTCCCTGTGCACACTTACTTAATTGTAAATTGTAAACAGGGCTCCACTGATAGACTGCGTACATTATACCAAAGGACACACCACAAGCTAAAATTTAAAATAAATGAAATAGACAGTAGAGACAAGCCATCATCCCATGGCTCCTTGGTGAGACCACTGTGATCTCCTTCCTGATGTTCTGGCTCTCTATCTCAGGCAGTCTGTCCGCTCTCTGAGGCTTCAGGTCCACCACCTGTGGTTTTTCCCAGTCCCTTTTCTGCCCCTGCAGGTGTTCTGTGACCCTGCCTAGATCTGGTGATGCAGCCTCACGATTGCTCCCCTACAAAAGCAGCTGACCTCCGGCTCCTCCTTACACCTTCTCTAGCTCCACCTGTGTCCTGCAGGTGCCACACACTGATCCCGGTTCCCAGTGAGGCCAGGTGTGGACCTCACACTTGAACTGAGTCTCCACCCAGGCTGAGGTTCAGTGCATAACTGCAGGTGACAAGGGACACACAAGACTTCCTGATAATCTTTCTCTGAGTCCTTAGTAAACACACTTTCCTTTCTTCCTACTCCGTGTGATTGCTTTCCAGCCTTCCTCAGCAGCCAGCACGCTCAGATGAGTGTCTGTCCCCACTGCTCCCACAAGGTCCCTTTCATCTTGCACCTCCATCAACCAGGATTCCATTCCTCCTGCCACCCACCCAACTGAAAGATTCTAATCAGGGTCTCCAGTGAGCTAGATCATCCTCCAGATAAAGGGCAATTCTCTCTCCTCGGGAATCTCACAGCACTGTTCAGCCACATGCAGCTAAGAGTCTTTCTCTCCTGCCCCTCAGCCTCTCTCCCTCCTGCTCTGCTCACCTAGAGTGTGCTGGCTCCACTCCCACTCCCACACTCTCCGTCCCACGTGTGTTGCTCCTCTGTCCCAGATCTCTCAGGGATAGATGACCCATTCTCAGCTAATTCGCTTTTCCCGGCCCTGTTCTCCAAGACTGTTGCCATGAACACATCTTCTCCGGCCAGCCTGTGTACACCTGAGTCTTACATGGTACCAAGAACAGTGGCTTCTCCTCTGTGCATGGAGCCTAATGCCTCCTAGCCAGGCCCTCCCAGGAAGTGCCTCAGCCAAAGTCAGGCTCCTGCCCCATGCACCCCAGTGATGGTCAGAGCAGGGTACAATTCAGGATTCTCCAAGGGGCTGCCCCAGCTCCCAGCTCTCTGTGGAGCTAGCTGGGGTCCCTGTTCTGAATGTACCATAATGGTTCCTCCTCTGCCCAGCCAGCTTCCAGCAGCATCACAGGGAGCATCCAGAGAGCCGACCCTGTAAACTTCCTGCACTGGAGTCCCTGCCAAAGGATCTGTTTCCCATGGACTCCCAGGGTCATGGCAATAGATTAAACCACGTGCCAACTTAGCAAGTCAGCAGGACCAGCCTCTTGCTGAAACACCAGTCTAGGCATCTCCGTGAAATATTGTTTAGGAGTGGTTAACATTTAGATAAGTGGACAGAGCAATGGTGGGCTGGGCCTAGAGAGTAAAGACTGAGCTCCTTGGAGGAAGAGAAAGAAGCAGGGAGAAGACCCTGTGGCTGGGACCTGCCGTGTTGAGTGAGCCTCCTTCCAGGCAGCCAAGGCTTCTCAGGACCACAGACAGGGACAGGGATCTGGACGGGAGCCAGGTTCAGAAATAGAGACATGTCTTAGTTACTTTTACTCATTGTTGAGACAAAACACCTGAAGCCCAACATGAAACAAAAGGTCTATTTCTTAAAATTTTGGAGGTTTCATACTCAGCTGGCTCCAAGACATGGTGGTGTGGCAGGGCTGCAGTTCATGGTGGCTGCAAACTGCAAGGTGCAAGCAAGAGAGAGAAACACCTTCTTTCCACCTATGCATTGTATCCTGGCTCCACCCCTAGGCGGGTGTAGCACTCACACCACCAATCCGAGTACTAGACAATGAACCAATCACAAACAATAGACTTGGTTGAGGCCATAATTGCATAAGGCTTAGGGGCCACAGACATAAACCATGACAGGACACCACCTCTCACCTGCCACCCTGGCTCCATCTCGGGCAGCACACCTGGAGGCGGCCGGCAGAGGAGGAGTGTAATATCCTGGGGGGGCCCTCGCAGTAGATTGAGCACCTCCTAGGAGAAACCCAGAGCGGCAGTGAGATTTGGGCTGTCCCTGCTGGAGCCCCTCATGTGCTCACCACTGTCTCCCGAGTGCTGATCCTTGATCCATTTCTCAGCTCCAGAGACCTCTGCAAACCACTGACTCCCCGAAGTCATGAGCCTGTGGGCTCATGAAGGTGACATGCAGAGGCTGGGCTGGGGCTGACCCTGCCACCCTGGTCCCCTGACACCGGCTCTGAGTTTCCTATCACAGCTCACCAGGCCCTGTAACCTCCATCTATGGAACCTACTGGCTTCCTGTCTGCCTTGGCCTCTGCAGTGTCAGCCAGCCTCTTCCCAATCTGCACCAAGCTCCCACTCACTCCCTAAAGCATGAGATGTCTCCTGGGTAGCCCCTATGTCCTACCTGGACCAGCATTTTCCAATGCCCAGTCCTAGCGATATGGATAATCATTGGGACAAAAGTCCTGTGCACTGAAGGGCAGTTAGCAGGATCTCTGGCCTCTGCCCATCAGATGCTACAGTGCTCATCAGCTGTGATAATCATTGCTGTCTCTGGACTTGGCCTAGCATCTCCAAGAGGCAGCAGCATCCCAGGATGAGAAGTGCTGGTCAGGCACCCCACCCCCACAGCCACAAGGACCGACACCAATGTCCCTCTTGCCTGCTCCCTGCTGTGAGCTCTGCAGCACAGGCTCCCATGAGTGCTCTGCTTTTCTGAAGGAAACATTGTGTTCTTGTCCACTGTGACCTCTGAGGCCCCCGGAGCCATCCACCGGTGGCCTTGCACCTCCCAGGGTCATCACCCAGCAGTGGCTCAAAGCATGGACAGAGGAAGGTGCAGCCTGTGCCTCTGGGCACCCACTGCCATGGTCCTGCTCTGAGCTCCTGGGGCCTCTAGGGGTGCTGTGTGGGGCATCCTCTTTGGCTCAGCCAGAGAAGTAGGGCAGGGACCAGGAGAGGATGAGGGAGGGAGGTGCCAGGTCCTGCTCACAACCTCTCTGTGGGGTGCCACATGAGACCTGCACCCCTCCACTGCTGTCACGGCTTATGTCAGTGAGTCTCTCTGTCTGTCTGTCTGTCTCTCTCTTTTTCACAGATAATAGGCAGGACAATCAATGTCATACTATGCACCAATGTCATACTATGCACTACAAATTCAGCAGAGAAATGGACAGGAGGGCAAAAGGGGCTCCGAAGAAGCCCCTGCAGCCTCACACCTGCTCCCCGAACTGTGAACCCCCACAGTGGCTCAAGCCCAGGCTGGTCTCCCTGATGGATGGTTAAATGCAGGACCATTCTGCCAACTGCCGTCTGCAGGACACAAGTCAGGACAGGATGTAAGAGCCCGTGGCGGGTAAGGAAGTGCCCAGAGGCCACCCGGCACCTGAGGCTTCAGTCTTTGACACCGCACCTGGAAGACTAGGCCCTCCGTGGGCCTTCCGTTGACCGCCAGGATGATGTCACCAGCTGCGATGGCCCCATGCTCCTCAGCTGGCTGCCCCGGAAACAGCCTCTTAATCCTGATGAGGTCGCTCCGAAGGAGACTGCAGCTGCCCCGCTCCACCTGCACGAAGCTGAACCCCAGGCCGTTGGTGTTCTTTCTCAGCCTGACTTCAAACTTAGGACCTGGATCGTGGGGTGTGGATAAAAATAACGCCTTCAGTAGGCTACCATGCAGCGATCTCCACAAGCAGACGGTTACACAGGTGAGTTAGTTCTAGTTTGCATGGTAAGATCTCATTTGCTTGATTTCATGGTAGAGTCCATTGTACTGTAAATTGAGAGTACGCTTAAAATATCTAACCTATCAAGCATCCTAATTTAACTGCTAGGGTGTCAAGCAGTCCCCTCCCCCAATCACGGGGCTGGTTGGAGGCTGTGGCTTGCTGGCCCTGCCCAGCAACTCAAGTGTGTATCATGCTGACCATCACCAGCTGGGAAAAGATCAAGACTCAAATTTCAGACCAGCTTCTACTGAATGTGTGCGGCCTTCACACCATGACAAAGCCAAAAATACTGTGGGTCACGTCATTCTAAGTTAGGGACCATCTGTAGTTCAGAAACATTCTTATTTAACATTCTTATAATCAATGTGAAAATTATTCCTGTTTTTCATACTTTTAGTGACCTAAGTCTTCAACCTCTGTTACGTATCCTGTTCACTTGGATTGTTGTAGTTCAACCGTGCCACAGTTACACACAAAGGGGCCACCACGCTACACAGTGCAATTATAGACACTCAGCTAATGTACAGAGAGAGACAGCTTGTGAGCACGCAAGGCACGTCCTTAGCATTAAGTCAAACTTACATCGTGTGTGCACTGCTCCTTAAAAACCCTACACCATGGGCACAATGAGGGCCAACTGGAGGGACAGCTGGCATTGTGATTTGCCATCCAAGATGGGCAGAGCCTGGGCACACAGGCAGGCTGGCCGCCCAAGAAGCTTGTGAGTTTCCTCCAGTCTGCCTTCACTTCATAAATTTCAGCGGCAGCCCTGGAGCAGGCAGGCGGAGGCCTGTGGCATGGCCAATCCTGCCTCTGCCGCCCTGGCCTCTTTGCATAGGTCAGAGATGAAAGAGGAAGGGGATTTGATTTAAGGGTGAGTGCTCCCCTCCCCCACGCCACCCCTGCCCTAAGCCTGCCTTGACCCCCAGCTTCCCTGTGCTGTGCAGCTCGACCACAGAGAAAGGGCTTAGCCCAGGGCTCAGCTCCCAATCATGGCGCTAAGGGAATAAACCCTCTCCTCTCAGGAAACCAAAGCACAAGAGCCGAGCGAGGATCCGATCCATCAGGAGCTGCACAGTTAGAGCCATGAGGCCCCTAAAGGGAGCATGCGTTGCTTTGTAACATGATGCTAACAACAAGGCTGGGCTCCTCACACCTTGGTCTTCCACCTGTATCCTCCGGGGTCAGGTGACTGCCACAAACGCCTTAGCAGGACCGTGGAACCAAGTGTATCTGCAAACATACGACCCTTTCACGCCAGTTTCACCCCTAAGTACTGCTCAGGCATTAACATCTGGGCAGCTGATCAGAAGGCTGAGGAAGGCTCGGACACTGTTAAACCTGCTGATCATTCTGGAACAATGCATCTGCTGCAAAACAAAGCTTCCATCCCTTGAGCTCTGATCGTAACCGCACTGCGGGGTTTTCTTCCCTTTGAGAACTCACAGGAAGCCTTCTCGCCTTTCCCCTTTGACTTGACAGCTCAAAGGCAGCACACAACCACACGACAATAGTAACTGCATTCTCTCCCTTCTCACCATCTGTCACCGAGACACAGCTCGCAGGCCCGCCAGGCAGGGCTGTTACCAAGGAAACCGCCGAGCGCTCTCCCATCCCATCATTAGCAGAAGGACACTGCTGTGCCAGGCCTGGGCTTCTCCTCTCCAAGACCAGCCTCGCCACCTGGAAGGATGGGGGACACACTCGGTTCACACCCCACCCGGCCACGGGGCACCACCCTGTCCCCTCTGCGAAGGCTCCTTCCTCTCTTTAATGCTGCATTTGAGTCTGAAATCACTGTCTTCAGTCTAGGCTTTGTGGGTTCCAGACGGTATGGCCACCTGCCCACTGGACACAGGCACCTGGGAGTCACACCTGTCCCTCCAGGGCCACACTCAATGCTGAACTCAGCCTCTTCCCTTTCCACATTCTGCCTCAGTCTTCCCTGGGCATCCATGCCCTCAAAACAGACACCATTTCCCCGAGTCAGCCCCTGGGGACATGGGTGAAGGGGCCAAGCGTCCCCTCTTTTGCCCCCCAAATTCCCTTCTGGTTTAAGGCTCTTGAGCTCCCCATGATAGCAACTCCCCCTGTGCTCCTCCTCCAGCCCCTCCCCACTGGCAGGGCCCAGCTGGTCTCCAGCAAGATCCTCCTGGCCTGGTTTGCCAGCCCTGCCTTAATTTCCTGTGGTCCAACTCGTCAGGCTGTTGTGGAGCTCGGGGCACTCCTGGTTAAAAGCCTCTGGTGTCTCTGAGCCTATGGGATGGCACCCCGGTGCCAGCCTGCACCTGCCGCTTCTGCCCATCCCTCCCCACACCATCCTGTACTCTGGTTACCCAAAGTGGGTGAAGAACCAGGCTGGACTTCTCCCGAGAACTGGTTAGAAATGCCAAGCTTCCAACCCAGAAATGTAGTCAGCTGGCCTGTACCCTTCTGAGGCCAGTGTCATTCAGTGACAGGCCCCCTGACCCCAGTGATGATTCCCAGCTGCCCTCAGGCCAGGAGGAGAAGCCCAGGAGCCAAGGTCTGAAGAACAGAGGGTACTAATGTCCGGAGGTGTGTCAACCAAGGGGCCAAGGCAAGAGCCCCTGCGCACGGACAGAAGCCTCCTTTGGGAAAGGAGCAGAGACAGCAGAGCCCTGCCCAACAGCTTGCTGGGAGAGCTTCAGGTATCCCATCTCTGTGGACCCTGCAGACCCCAGGAGAGGATGGTGCCAGCCCTGCATGGGTGCAGTTAAAAGTGCCCACGCCCAGGCAGAGGACAGAACAGGGCTGGTCACCCAGAGACGCTGCCTGGGCACTGGTGCAGTGAGGGGCGCACCGTACAGATGGCCACCCTCAGCTCCTGGGCTCCTGACCTGCCACCCAGTGCTGGTGAAGAGGCAGCCAGGGCAGCCAGGGTGATCCGAACAGCAGGAACTTGGGGTGAGGGGGCCCTTTCTGCAAAAGTGGGGCGAGAGAGCATCTGAGAGCCAGCATGCACTGCTCAGGGGGATGGCACCGTCATGGGGGGCTCTGCAGGAGCCTGGACCAGAAAACCGCTATTTTCCAGCTCTGTTCCACTGTCTGACTCCTAAGTCTAGGCGAGGGCCAGGAGCACTCCAAGCTATTTATAGGAGAGCTTTTCTGCTTGGCAACATCTGCCTGCTGTCTCCTGGGCTTCAGAGCCCCACAGTAAGACGGTGCTGGGTGGCAAAAATAGACAGTCACAGTTTGCTTCCTGGCTGCCTCTCCCCCACACTCAGAGGCAACTGCACCTCTGTGGCTGTCCTAGAAAGTTCCAGAAGGAAAGGGACAGCCCTGGGGAGGGGCATGCTCACCTGTCCGGGACCCTTGAGACACTGTACCGCCTGCTTGTGGGTGAGGCCGCAGAGACTCACGCCGTCCACCTGGAGAAGCCTGTCACCTGGGGAAGGAGCCAAGCTATTGCATTCTGGGGCTCCTGCAAAGCCCCGGCCCACACCCGCCCGCAGCCTCAGGAGCGCAGAAGGCAGAGGTGCCTGGTCCCCGTGGGTCAGCAAGACCCCATGTGGGCCTGAACACCCCGCTCTCTGAACTCCCCACCATTCCTTTGGAGAAAGGCCTGTCTATTCTCAGCTCACACCATGAGCCTAACCCTTCCTCCTGTGTTCCTGTGAAACCGTTTTTGAAATTATTTTCAACTTGCTCAGGGGTATTATTTATATCACCAGGATTTTTTTTAATTTCAAAAATGGTCAGAGAGACATGGTTAATGTGGGGTACACTAGGGGAAGTGGAGATGAGACAGACTGGATAATGAGACCTGAGGTGCCTTTTGGGGGTTCATTGGGAGAACAACAAAAATCCCTCTTTTCCGTCAGAGCAGCGAGACACGAGACAGGCTAGAGAGAAAGTTACTGTGTCCCCTCAGACACTAAAGCAGCTGCAGGGGACCAATGCCAGCTCTGTCCTCCCAGGGGGCAGCCCTGTCCCTGAAGGCCAGCAACAACCTGCCTATGAATCTCTTATTTTACATCACTTTATCTGTGTGTTCCAATTTGCTACCCCCCACTGTGGACTCTGCTAGCCTATCAGCTGGGAGTGCAGTGTCCCCTTCCTGGGAGAGGAGAGCAGGCTCTGCAGACCGGGCGGTTTGCAAGGAGTCTGTTATGGCTGATGCCTGGTGCCAACTTGAGATGTTTAGAAGTTTTAACTGCTCTGGCTGCTGCCTTAAAGTGCTGCCCCAGTGCCACGCCACCCTGCCTTGGAGCCAGCTGAGTATGCACTGAAACCTCCACAGACAGTGAGCTAAATAAACCTTTTATTCCTTCATTTTAGGTGTCGGGTGTTTTGTCCCAGCTACCAAGACAGGGTTCCAGAGCAGATGGGGTGGGGTCCGAGGCTGCCCACCCAGCCCGAAGTGCCTTCTGCCATGCAGCACAGAGCCCCAGCACAACTCCATCCCTCACCCTGCAGAATCCGTCCTTCCTTGGCAGCTGGGCCTCCAGGGGTGATGGACTTCACATAGATGCCTCCATGGAGCACGCTTGTGTTGATGCCACCCTGAAAGACATAACAAAGCTCATCGCTCATCACCCCAATGTCCCATAACCCCCTGACGGAGGGAGCCCCCCACCCCCATCTGTGGGAGACCACCACATGCTGTCTCCTGACAAAGGAAGCCCTCGCCACAGCCTGTCCTGACCTCTCCTTCACCCTATCTATGGAGATGTGCAGAGCGGCCACCAGTGTTCCTGGACTAACAGAGCCAATCTGGCACACAGCAAAACTATCTGCGCACTGCTAACTGCAGGCCTCTGGGCCCAGTATGGCTACAAAGTTTCTTTTCCCTCCGCAGGGATCCCCACCCACCTCCCTAAATCAGGCCAATGAAAGCCTTGAGCTTTGGGAGATGAAGCCTTTGGTTCCAGAGAAAACACTGGATCATCCCAGAGCTTCTCAACTGCAGAATACTCTGTTTGCCTTTCATTGCATCCGCGTGCCATTTTGCCGGTGGGCTGGACTGATGCGCTCACTAAGGGTTTTGGGTCCCATCTCTCCCTCTGCCCATCTCCTTCCGACACTGCCCTCTGTCCTGATCTGTGTAGATCGCAGTCACCGCGAGCGATAAAGTTAGGTGTTTGCACAGAGCATAACTGTGCAGGTGACAAGGAAGCCCAGCCATACCCCCAGCCAAGCACCGGTACACAGCAAGTGGTTGCTAAATACAGTCACACAGGATGTACCAGATTTCTTCAGATAGTAACCAACACCGACAGATGTGCAAGGGGCCTGGGGCTGGTGCCTGGCACGTTTGCGTGTACATGTGCTCACTGATGGATGGGAAAGCAGAATTAAACTCCACAGCGTTTGCTACTGACCACTTTTATCTGAGCAATAGATTATAAACACCCTACAGAGCAAACACCAACAGCTAAATCTATTTTCTCTTCTAATTTACTCTGCACATGTGGATGTACAGAGAGACAGATGGTTTCTCAATGGTGTGCCAGCCTTCGGGCGCAGGTTTTGAATGACTTCCTTTATACCTGTTTCCTGTCCCCTCCTTTCAATCCCATTATGGGGGAAGACATTAATAAATGATAATAACCGGGCGCCTAGTATCTATACCCTTTTTATTAATACACGTTTGTAATTCATGATTACATTCACCCTGTATAGGCATTAGTGTGTATGTAACACGTCTTAATTTTTTCTTTTAACTTCTCTCCATCCTCACACAATCATACAGAAATGGTTACACAGAAGTCTGACTCAGCTTCGTGAGAGACACACACCAGACATCTGAACAGCCCTGCCATAGTTTGGATCTGAAATCCCCCAAAGGTCCATGTGGACGGGTGTTCCGGGAGGTGGTGAAACCTTTGCATGTGGGGAAGTCTCTAGATCTTGGGGGGTGCCCTCAAAGGGGTTCTGAGCTCACCTCCTCTCCAATTCACTGCCTGCCCTCCCCAAATGGAGCCAACCAATCAGGGGTTGAAACTTCTAAAACTCTGGCCCGTAATCACCTTTTCTCTTTGCAAGCTGATTGTCTCAGGCACTTGTTACAGTAACAGGAAGCTGACTGACAGACCCTGCGGCCTGGTGAAATGGTTTTGTTTTTGTTTTTGATGAATCCAAGAACTCTCGAACAAGACTCCAGCAATGCTAATGGAGAACCTCAAGACTGTCAGTCGTCTCCCAGGGGCTCCCAACCCCCTTCCTGAGCAGCTGCACACCCAGACCCTCGGTCTCGCCGTGCTAGTGGACTTCCACATTTCCTGCCCTCTTACTGTCCGGCCCCTGCAGCTCCTGTTTAGGAAGGCCTGGTGGGAGGGTGACACAGTCCTCTCTTCCCAGTCACACAGCTTCAGTTCAGACCGCCGGTTGGTGGCCTCTGTTTCTCACTAACAAGCACAGAAGTGCATATGCACTCCCCTAGGTCACCAGCGCACAGAAAGGGGCCTCCTGTCCACCGCTCTCCGCTTCTCTCTTGCTTGCTTGGCAGGTCCTCATGGAACTCTTTCCATTGGGCTGAACCCAGTGCAAAATCACTTTCATGGCAGCAGCTTGGTGTCTACGTGAACATGTGCCGTACCACGTGCAGCCTTTCCAAAACTGGTCCCAGACAGTTTCCCCAGCATTTCGTCACTATAAGCAACAGTGCATTAAACCTCCTACATGTACAGCCTTACACGTACACTGGGAATCTTGTTGCTATTTCCATGGGCTCCGGGATACGTACATCTCCATTCTGATAGATGTTGCCAGATTGCATCCCAACGTGAACGCACACATAATTATTCACATTTCTAACAGATTTGTACCCGGTCCTTTTTTCCCCCTGCATCCCATCAGCTATATTTGGCTGTGCTGATCGTTATAGTTATAAAATTTCATTTCTATTCCCACGGCTTCTCATGGCTTCGAGTGTTTTTCATTTGCTTGATGGCTATTTGGATTGGGGCAAGACATTTCATAATTATTTCTGAAATTAAATTTCTCTAAGGAAAATCTAAGTTTTTTGTCAGCCAAAGGAGATCACCAACTTTTTAGCATATGCATATATACAGATATATATATGAATAATGGAAACAGTAGCCAAGTGTTTCAGAGAAGAAATAGCTGTGTTTGATGTCTGTCAGGAATGTTACCTCAAGTGAAGAATAAATTGATGTCCTTGGTACCAGTCTGCTCGTCCTCTGGGGTGCATGAGCCTTATTTCTTGGGGTCTTATTCTGTTAAAATCACTGACTGACGAGCTGACGGCATGTGGGTGGGGCAGCAGGCACGATCCTTGCTCTATCTAGACGCACAGCATTCTCATGGAGGAAACCAAAGCGTGCCACCCACCTCTCGGGTCTCCTCTAGAAGCTTTCACTGGTCACACCATTCCCTTGCCTGCTGAAAACTTCCTGTCCCTTTCCCATCAACAATGACATTCCTGTAATGCAGACATGGTCCAGGGTCCCACAGTAACAGGTTGCGGTGCTTGGGAATCAGAGTGCCACCCTCCGACTGTGGCTCTGAGTTGTCACCGCCTTTGTGTGCTCCGTGCTCCAAACCGGTGGGTGATCTCACGGGTCATCTCCCTCATCTGGGATCTGCCAGGTAGAGCTCAGAAGCCACATGCAAAGTGCCAACTGGGCAGGGGTCTCACACACTGAACTTTGTCCTGCCTCTTGGAGGACCAAGTACAAGGCTCCTCTGTGACCCACTTGGGACGACCATAGACTGCCCCACTTGACTTTGGCTGTGCCCGTGGGCACCCCGTCTTCTCACTGACCAGCTACCCTCAGAGTCGGGACACTCCCTCTGACTTCACGGCACTGTCTCCTCCCGGGGCTGGGGCTCCCCAGGGCCTGCACCTCTAGTTGCCCTGCGTTTCCCAGTTTGTCTTTGAGCTCTAGTCCCCCACAGGTGGCTCACATGGACCTTCGTGGCTCATTCACTTTCCACATGCCACTCGTGCACAATGCACACATTATCAGGGTGCAAAGCCCACCACGGACGGCTCTTTCACTGTTTTCCACCCCCACTCACGCTTACCGTCACGCTGAATCCAAGTGTTCCGTCTTCTTTAACCAGCTCTACGAAGTATATTTCGCCTGAGTTGGTTTCCAGAGGTGATGGGGGGGGAGAAGTACCAGCACCCTGTCCCAAACAACAATTAGAAATTTAAAAAAAGAAGCACGAGGTGCCTGCCCCGTCTGCACAGAAGGCTCCTCTGCTCCCAGGAGCGGGCAGCACTGCACTGAGAAGCAGCGTGGGCTTCCAGGCTGGCCAGCAGGGCCTCTCCCCGGTAGCAGCAGTCCCTCCCCATGTGACCTTAGCCAAGTCTCTCAGATCCTCCAACGTCCACTTTCCAATCCAAAGAGCTAGCAGGTTGATCTTCCCCGTCTGTGTGGTGGCAACTGTGCCCAAACATGACGGGGTCCCAATAAATGCAGGCCTCCTGCTGTCTGCACTCATGTGTTAGAATGGAAGTTGTACGGGTACTTCCGGGGATCCCCATACACAGTGCCAGCCAAGTGTGGGCGTAACAGAGACACAGTGCTGCCTGAGGCAAAGGACAGCCCCAGAGGGCTTGCCACTCTTCCTGGTTAGGTCTTTGTTATACAAGAGCTGCATGCTTTAGGGCAGAGAACAGTGATCACACCATGTACGGACACTTTGCTAGGTCAGGTGGCAACAGCCACATAAGACTTATTCATCCATTCACCCAATCATGCAGCAGAATTCACTGAGCACCTATTATGTGCCAGGCTGCAATGGTCTGAATGTCCCCTTACAAACTCATATTGAAATGGAACAGAAATCAGGACAGTTAATGCCATCATGAGAGTCCTTGAGGGATGAGTAGGTCATGAAGGCACAATCTGCAGGATGGATTAGTTGGGGAGTGGGTTTCCTCCTCCTCTTTCTCCCTCGCGGGGTGACACCATCCCCTATCAGCAAGAAGACTTCAGCAGAGTGGCCCCTCCATCCCAGACTTCCAGAAATATGAGCTGCGTACTTTTCCACGGTTGCTCCTTTACCCAGTCCATGGCTTTCTGTTATAGTAACACCAAGTGGACTAAGACACAGATGCTGTGTGAGTTGCTGGGGAGAGGGCGGCAGTGACACAGACCTAGCCGGGTGGAGACTTTCACCAAAGAGATTGCCAACACATTAACCCACAGCCACCAGATAGTAAGTGCAAATGTGATGGCCCTGAGGCTCAGGGACACAAATACAAGCAGCCAGGAAGAGGGACAGTGCAATGCAGAGCTGGGCGTGGCTGAGGCCAAAGCTCAGCATGGGAAGGAGGAGGCCAGCGTGTGTGTGCCAGGCCGGGTGACCATCAGTCCGAGGCAGAGAATACCCAAGTCGTTGTTCAGGCTCTGTTGGTCCCTGGTCCTAGAAAAAGTGTCTTTTGCCTCATCTGTCCCCTGTGCTTTCTGGCCCATGTTGGAAAATACTATTAACACACCAGAAAATAAGCAAACTGGAATAAAATGAAAAATTATTAACGCAACACTTAGAGGTTCCGGGGAGATTGGTATGGGAGTAAATATGGCCTTGGCTCTCCCCCAGTAATGCCTCCACAGTGAGGAATTTATTCTGAACATCAGAATCTGTAGAATCAAGCGACTATCAAGGGTGAGACCCAACGTGACAGTGTAAGCTCGCTGTGTCTCAGAAGCTCACAGGTCGCAAATCTGGCCAGGGCTCCAGGGAAGGCTGGACTGCACAGGTCTGGCAGTGTTTATCACAGCCCACTGTGGCACGGGGAAGCCACTGTGCCCTTCTCTGCTGGCCCCAGAAACCAGCTTTCAGGGTCACGGAGGCCCTCTCTGCCCTGTGTCACACCAAAGGAGCCTCCCTGGGAAGCAAGTGTCACGCGTGACCCCAGCCCCTCAGATTCTGGCCCTGAGTCTACCACAAACTTCCTGTAGACCGTGGCATGCCACTTTTGTCCTTGTGCCTCGACACCGCCCTGTAAAAGGGCAGGCAGGTATCCCGGTGTACCCAGGCTTGGAGAAAGTCCCTGGACAGCACACATAGCGCCCAGGGCAGCACTGGGTGCATGTAAGGATAAATGCCAGCCCTCCCCACCCTGCTGACCTCTGCATCAGGTGGATGCCAGCCAACCTCAGAGGAGCTGGCAGCCTCTGGGGACCAGCAAGAGGCCAGTGAACACCGGGGCTGGTACCGCCTGAACCTGGGGCCTGACCAGGGGTGGGCAACAGAGCCAGGGGGCCTGGTAGAACGGAGCTGTGCTGTTGGCAGAGGGACAGCCAGCCCGGGTCAAGACAGTGGCAATAATCCTGTCCCTACTTGTGCACCAATGCAGTCTCCAGCCAGGCCTTTGTGGGAACAGAGAATTGATGTGGTCCATGAGTGACAGCGACAGGGGACCCAAAGCAAATGGAAGGGCCTAGAGCGTGGTCTGTGGGCCACCAGGGACCCTAAGGAGACGGCAGGGGTAGAGGAGAGCCAGGCCTGAAGCGCAGTGCTCTGGGTTTGCCAGGACCAGGCTGACTCTTCTTCCTCCCCAGGCTGTCGGTCCAGAGCAGAGCCTCTGAGGGCCAGAGTGGGGACAGTTAGAGGTCAAGATCATGAGACACTGATTGCCTGTGCCCGGCCCTGGTAGCCATGCCCTTGCTCATGTGGTCTCTGTAACCATTCTAACTGGTGATGAGGGTGCTGGTGCCCAACACTGACCCCGGGTCCCAGGCACTGATAGGAGCCCTCTCCCCCAGCGCCCATGCAGGGCAACCATTTCCACTGCACAGAGGAAGACACTGAGGTCAGAGGGCCTGAGTAACCGCTAGTGACACAGCACACAGAGAGTACAGGACCTGGGGGATGCACCCTAAATTCTAGGACATGAACCAAGGGACCATCACCTTCCCTGGCAGAGGCGCGTGCTGAGGCCTCTGCTGGGGTGTGGGGCTCTGCGCCTGGGCCATTTCCCGCTCCTCAGGGTCTCCGTCCTGCTCTTGCACATGTGATGAGATGCTTCCCTGGTGCCCGGCACTCAGGACGCCTGGAGTGAAGATGCCAGGAGTGGCCATGCCGTCCTTTCCTTCCCTGGGGGCGTTTCCACAAACACCTGTGACGTAACCCAGAAGAGGTCAGCAGCTTGGCAAGGCTGGCATCGCAGGGCCACTGTGTGTGCCAGAGTCTGCCTTCAGGGACAGAGAGTTCCTTTACAGGTACGGGGAGTGGTGTGAACCTGGCATCTCCCCAAGGACGCCACATTTAGAACAGAGCAAGGGAAGGTTCCGCATGTGATTCAGAACTGGAAAAGGAGGCCACTTGGGTGGTCAACTGTTAAACCCCAGGAGCGAGGAGAGCGAATCCTGCCAGCTGCCCTCGGTGAGAACTGCCACAGAGATGGAGAGGAGAGATCTTTCTGCTTTCTCAAAAGACCCCAGGAAAGTGTCATCCCCCCTCAGCGAGGGGAAAGCGCAGTCCCAAGGACGAAGCACCCTGTGCCCAATCTATGACCGGCGCACAGCCCTGCTCTTAGCCCTGGCCTCTCCCAAAGACCCTGCTTTACACAGCTACACTCAGCATGTGACCCAGAGACCACCGTGTGGGGTCTGTGGGGCCCAGGAAACCTGGACAGCACAGAAGGGAGAGAGATTAGGAAGCAGGAATCCATGGGTAAACCCTTGGACAATTTCCTTATTTCTAAAATAGAGCTAATACCATCACCAATCATCTCATAGGATTAGCGAGGCTTCGCTAGTATTTATAGAGGGGGGCTTTATAGATATAAAGAGAATAAGATATAAAATGTGTGTATGTGTGTATATATACACACATTATATATATGCATATGTAGCATAGTTCATATGAAAAATGAGGTCTTTACTATTAATGTGCTAATGATAACTGCTTAATGATTGCACATGGGAGGAAAGCATAGGCATTAGGGTGGCTTTAGACCTAAATACATAAAGTGACAGGCAGAGTCTCTACTCTGACACAGACTCATCAGCCCCCGGGGAAATGCCCCAACTCTCGTACTGAATGAATCTGATTTGAATGAATTTGATTTAATGGATTTGGCTTGGAGTTATTCCAATCTAAAGGTATTCAGTAACGAGCAGAAACTCGAGAATCCTGGCCACGGCTTTCATCATCTGCAGTGAGGGTCCTTCTGGCAATAGAGGGTCCACGCCCTCCCCGGAGACAAGGAGAAGATTTACAACTGACCTGGAAATCACGCTGTGCCACCGTGTCCTGTCTGACGGAAGCACGGGCTAAGTGACTTCATCTGGGAGACTAAAACTCAACTTATGGCAGCATAGTAATGCACACCTGTAATCCCAGAGTCTAGGCAACTTAGTGAGACCCCATCTCAAAATAAAAAGAGGTAGCGGGGCACTCCTGGGTTTGATCCCCAATACTGAAAAAACAAAAAAAAAAACAAGCATTGTACTCCCTTTGCTGGGGACCTCCATGCCGCTTGCCAGGGCTTGCTGCCTGCCAGTTCCCTGGCCTCCAAGCTGCACTGCTGTCTCAACAGCAACCCAAGCAGATAGAAATTCGTAGTGGTCAGGTCTGTACCCAAGGGATCCAGCCAGTGTCATGATGGACACCTCTTCCTCTATCAGTGGAAGGGACAGAAGGAACCGTAACTGCGACACTTAATTCCTAAACTTTGTGATGTCTTTGTGGCTTTTCCATCACTGAAACACCCCACTTGACACTCACAATTTAAAAGAGGAGGAGTTTACTTTGGCTCATGGGCTCAGTCGATGGTTAGCTGGCTCCAAGGCCAAAACAGCATGGTAGAAGGGACTGGGGGAGGAGAGCTGCTCCACCCATGGCGGCCAGAAAGCTGGGAGGGAGAGAGGGGAGGAGCTGGGAACAAGAACGCACCCTCCCTTCCAGGTTTAGCCCCCAGGGACCACCTCCAGCCAGGCCCCACCTCTAACAGCAGATTTGGCTATGAGCTCACCTATGGATGAACCCCCATCAGCACAGCACCCCCATGATCCAGTGACCTTCCACTTGAGACTTTGGGGGTCATTTTAGAGCTAAACCATTCTACTAAAGGACTCATTGTCTGGAGTCTACTGTAAGGTGGTGGTCTAAACAATGCAGATTTTGGGTACTAATATCACACACACACACACACACAAACACACACACACGCACACATACATACTCCAGCATGGCAGCCCATCCTTGCTCAGCCTAGATTGAGATTTGACAATCTGTATTATGTTTCTTAACAACCAGAGGGAAGTCCCGAGTGCCCTTCTCTGCAGAGACCATGCAGGAAAATTCAAGGACTGCTGAACTGCTCTGGACAAGTGGCACTGCTGTGACATCCCACAGAGACGGTGGCCCTGAGGCCAGTGCTGACAGCTGTAGGGTGGCCTCTGAGGCCGCTCTGTCCACAGGCTAAAAGGTACCCGGGGAAGGCCCAGCCATGTAGAAACCTTAAGATAAGCTACTTTCGCTAAGCCCCTGAGTGACACAGGAAAGTCCTCCTCCTGTGGGAAGAGCTAGAAAAGCACAGGATGCTAATAAAAAGCAGAGCGAGTGGCCTCCCTTCAGTAAGACCAGCAGAGGCCAGGCCCGCCCTGACCCCGAAATCGCAGGGCTTAGTGATCAGTCCCGCTGCACTGGCTCTCTGCAGGCTGCCGCCACCAGGACAGCAGCACAAAGGCCATGTAGCCTTGGGCGGTCAGTGTCTCCCAGAAGGAAGGAGGCCCGCAGTGTGGACGCGCACCTTCGGCCTGGGAAACGGTGAGCTCTAGGTGGTCAGGAGAATTCTGAATCATTCTGACGGCCATGGCGAAGGTGAAGCCATCCAGGCTGATGCGGTTCAAGGCCAGGATCTGCCCTCCTGGAAAAAGAAACCACCTCAGAGATCCCATAAGGAAAAAGGAGAGCGTGCATCCTAAAGACAGCATCTCAGGCCAAATGCTCCAAGACATACCTGGTTTGATCTTCTTTGTCTTTGCTGCTGGTCCTCCAGGTATAACAGAAGATATAAAAATGCCAGGACTCGCTTGGCCCACATCTTCTCCCTCACTGATGACAAAACCTGTAATCCAAGATGGCGTCTTCATGACTTGGCAGCTCGGAGAGCTTGGGTTGTTCACTTGGGCTCCCACAGCTAGCAAGCAGCCCGGCACAGTTGGCATCTGGACCCGGGTGCAGCACGCGGGCAGGAGAAAAGGGCTCTCTCCTTCCAGCCTCGCAGCCCAAGCTGGACCCACAGCTGGACGTGCACTGGAGCTGCTCTGGCAGATAACCAGAGACAGGGAAGAGATGGTTTCCAACCAAGAACCCTGTCTCCGGACCTTGCTCTTCCAAGGTTTAAAGGGTCTTAAAATAGGCTCAGTAACAAAAGACAGATCAGCTGTTCCTCCCCATCACAAAGAATCTGGGAAAGGCTGTGGCCCTTACTGGGGGGATCTTTTCTATTCTGCTTAGATGTACCCTGAAGACGCTTCAGACAAGGGATCTTTGAGCCACTGCTTTTCAGGGAGTCTGGGAGGGAGAAAAAGGCAGAAGTTGGGAAGGCGGCTCCTCCCTGGGGCTCCTACCGAAGCCTCGGTGCGGGTCCCGCTGCAGCGCCACGTGCACAAGTTCCCGACGCAGCTCAGCGGTGAGGCTCCCTCTCCTGCTACTCTGTGACCCTGGAGAGGGGATCACACAACCCTGTTGTGTTCCATCACCCCCTCAATAGAAAGCGGGGAGACCGGATTGCACACATGCATGCACACACACACCCCGTTTACTCTCCCACCACACCCGGAAGGGATCTCATGATCTCAAGGATCAGGGTATCAAGGTCAGCTGTGAGAGCAGAGGCCAGGCGGGGTGGAACATGAGTCTGTTTCTGCAGGACTGACTCTAGCTGCTTGGGAGTTAAGTGATGGATGATATAACTAAACCCAAAACTCAGAGACCAGACAGCCCGACCTTTCCTGCTTGGGCCTTGCTACATGTGGGACCTGCAGGTTCTCCAAGGGCCCATGTGGTGGAGGCTTGGGGACCCCAGTCTGGGAGGCGGGGAATCTCTAGAAGGTGGCGCCTATTGGGGGGAAGTTAGGTCAGGGGTTTGGGGGTGCTCTGGGAGGGGTTATAGGGCCCCTGGTCCTTTTCTCTCTCTGTTTTCTTCTGGTTACCAGATCTCTTCCCTGATGATCTTTATGCCACTATAGGCTCAGAGCAACAGGGACAGATAACCATGGATGGAAGCCTCGGAGACCATGAGCCAAGGTAAAGTCTTGATAAGCTGGCATAGCTCAGGTGTCTGTTAGAGTAACGGGCCTATCGTAGGTCTCTAACAGCCAGAGGGTGACAGGGACCGGCAGCTGTGCCTCAGGCCCCAAGAGCACTATGGGAAAAACCCATATTAGAGCCCTGTGGTCATCCCCTGCCAGCTGGAGCCCTAATGCTTGTCACATGGGAACCCTCAGTGGTGACACAACATCACATTGCCCCCCATCTTTCCCTGCCCTAGGAAGCAGGGAGGAGCCCAGCAGAGTCAACAAAGGAGAGAAGCCAGGTGCTAGTCCAGATCAAGCATAAAGCTTCCCCCTGGGTATGGAATCCCTGCCTACATCCAGCTGGAAACCTGCAGGAGCCCTGCCTGCCTGGTGTGTGTTCTGGAAACCAAGGAAGCAGGACCAGGGCCTTGGTGCCTCTTTCTGAACACACCAGTCCAGCTTGGTCCAGCTCCTCAGGCTGCATCGGAGCACAGGAAATTGCTTCACTAAGGCTAATCCATATACCCAGCCCAGGCCAGAAGTGGACTGGAAGAGCTCTTCCCAACCTCCACCTCCAGTGGGGAAAAGAAGGAGAAGGAGGAGGTGGAGGAGAAGGTGGAGGAGGTGGAGGAGAAGGTGGAGGAGGTGGAGGAGAAGGTGGAGGAGGTGGAGGAGGAGATGGAGGAGGAAGTGGAGGAGGAGGAAGAGGTGGAGGAGGTGGAGGAGAAGGTGGAAGTGGAGGAGGAGGTGGAGGAGATAAAGGAGGAGGAGGAGAAGGTGGAGGAGGAGGAAGAGGTGGAGGAGAAGGTGGAGGTGGAGGAGGAGGTGGAGGAGGAGGAAGAGGTGGAGGAGGTGGAGGAGAAGGTGGAAATGGAGGAGGAGGTGGAGGAGATAAAGGAGGAGGAGGAGAAGGTGGAGGAGGAGGAAGAGGTGGAGGAGGAGGAGGTGGAGGAGGTGGAGGAGAAGGTGGAGGTGGAGGAGGAGGTGGAGGAGGAGGAAGAGGTGGAGGAGGTGGAGGAGAAGGTGGAAGTGGAGGAGGAGGTGGAGGAGATAAAGGAGGAGGAGGAGAAGGTGGAGGAGGAGGAAGAGGTGGAGGAGGAGGAGGTGGAGGAGGTGGAGGAGGTAGAGGAGGTAGAGGAGGGGGTGGAGGAGAAGGTGGAGGTGGAGGAGGAGGTGGAGGAGGAGGTGGAGGAGGTGGAGGAGATAAAGGAGGAAGAGGAGGAGGTGCAGGAGGAGGTGTAGGAGGTGGAGGAGGAGGAAGAGGTGGAGGAGGAGGAGCAGGTGGAGGAGGAGGAGCAGGTGGAGGAGGAGGAGCAGGTGGAGGAGGAGGAGAAGGAGGAGGAGGAGGGGGAGGAGGAAGAGGAGAAAAACATTGCAAATATTGAGAAGAAAAATGAAGTGCCACAAGAGATTGAAAGAACCCCCTGGAAGGCTCCCTCTACCCACCCCGGCCCCGGCCTGCGCCTTACCTGGGCACATGCCCTGAGCAAGCGGCCCCAAGAGACGGTCACAGTTCCTTGGCTTCTGCATCAAACAGGCACTGTCCTGCTGCTCCTGGCCAGCACAGGGGCTGTGGGAAAAGGCCCAGGTGAGATGAGGTGGCCGTGGAAGGCAACTGTGCCAGTGTTTGGGGGCACAGGTGGTGGCCTGGGTCAGATCCCACGGGAGGCTCATTGGGCTCTCAGGAGCCACCAGGAGATCTTTCTGCCTCTGAAGCCACGTGGACTGCACCAGAACCTCCCACCCCCCACCATTGGGTTGGACGTGCGGCTATGGAAGAATCCTCCGCTCCGTCGTGGACTAGCAATGGTCTTCCTGGGGCAGCAGGTGTAACAGTGCCAAAATTAGATAGTAAGCGTAAAGTTCCAGCACTCCCTGTGGATCCTGGTGTACTGTGGTTTGGCCTTGATGTTAGCCGAAGGCCCTTTTCAGAGCTAGCCATACCCCACTACCCTCCAATGCTGTCCCTCGGAGGGCCACACATGGTCACTTACCTGTGACAGCATGGCAGTTATTTGAATTGGATGTTCTGATCACACACACTGCAAACATAAAGTGTTCCTGTGGGCTCCCCCAGCCTCTGCTGTGTGTGCTGGGGTTTAGAGGTATTTGTTCCCCAGGGCTTCATGTGTTAGAAGGTTAGTCTCCATGTGGTGGTATTGGGTGACGGGGCCTTTAAAAGGTGGGGCTTAGAGGTGGTGGGAAGCAAGGTCTCAGAAGGGATCACAGAGTTCTCAGGGACCCTGGCCAGGTCCCCATCTCTGTCTCTAGATTCCCCTCTCATCATGAGATCTATCCTTCTCTATGCCCTGTCCCTATGCTGCCACCTGTCATGAGAAATGGGACCCCACTAGAGCCAGCACCATGCTGTTTGAACTGTTGGCCCGCAGAGCTGTGAGCTAACTAGATCCTTTTCTTTTGTGAGATACCTGCCTGCATTTTTTGTTATAGGAACAGAAAACGGACTCATACACACAACACTCTAGCAAGCAAAGGTTGGTCCAGGCATTTGGTTGGTTCAGGTTCGAGTGGGGACCCTGTCTCAACCCCAGAGTGAGCTTTGCGCAGTGACAAGATACATTCAGAGAACAGATGCAAAGCTGTGGGTGACCAGAGTCCTGCTATCCAGCCAGATGACCAATCACCTGAGCAGACCATCACTCAGACTGTCCCCAGGGCCTGCCCACAGCCTAGGTAGCTGGCCAGCAGTAGGGATGGAGGTCTGGGATCCATGGATCCCTGGACACACCCTGGAACAATGAACTGAACCGAGGAGCTCCTGGCAGGGAGCGTGGCACCCTGCAGAGGGACTGCTCAGCAGGAGGAGCGCAGCAGCGTGGGAGGAGCCAAGGACACGTGGCCTCTGCAAGGAGGGAAGGGCTTCTGTGTCCCAGGTTTCCGTGGCTCAGGGGACCTGTGCTACACAAGCAACCCACGTTTGTGTAAAGGCCATTTACTGCAGGTCACCAAAGCACAAATGATACAGGGGCCCACGTATACGAGGCTTATTGTGTCACACGAGCAGACAGAAAATAGAATGGTAGCCATCAGGGCTGAGCAAAGGCGGGACAGGGAGCAGGCGCGGCCTGGGGCGGAGTCGCAGCTTGGGATGATGGGAAGGGTCCTGTGGCTGCACAGCCTACCGTAAGGTGCCTGGACCGAATGCCACCGAATGGACACTCCCAAGGGACTGTGTCACAACATTACACGTTATGGTTTGAGTATTTTACCACAACTTAAAATTTCCTTTGGTGCAAGCCTTTTTTAAAAGTGTGTCTACACTCAGCTTCAGGACGGGGGAGACCGCACTTCCCCGCTTCCTCGGGAGCCTCGGTGCTGAGCAGAGCAGGCGGCTGAAAGCAGGTAGCTATCGGCACGGAGGGGACACAAGGCGGCCAGCACGTGGAGGAGCCAGCCCTTCACTGACTTCAGAAGCAGGGACAGAAAGCAGTAGCCGACTCCTGTAGGCACAGGGCTGCACGTCAGGGTTGGCATCTGCTACCATCTCTTCTGAGAGGTGTGGAGTAAGGGACAGTGCTGTGACGGGGACCCCTGACGCAGACGCTGGAGGCAGCCTCAGCCTTCCCCTCCCAGCTGCAGCCCTCGCTGGTCACCTGCTCCAAGTGCCAAGCTGCTGGCATGACACACTCTTTCCCATGCCATCCTGCATGGGCACCTCTGCTGCCCACAAGCACCACAAGCCAAGGCCCACATCTGTCCTGCTCCTCGCCGAATCCTTGCACCCAGTCCAGGGCTGGCACAGAGCTGAGGTTTAAGTCTTCTTTCCAGTAGACTAACAGAGGTTCCTCTCCTCGCTCTGACTTAGCCTAAAGCCTACTCTTTAGAGTGAAGATCTGATGTCACATCCCCACACAACGCTCCCAGGACCTCACTCTGAGGGGCAGATGGCCCAGCATCTGCCTTAGAGATCAGAGAAAGGGCACCAACCACTCGGCACCACTCAGCACTTGTGACACAGCTGCATTCCCACAGCTGCCTGCCCAGGCTGCTCACACCCCTGGAGGAATGGGGAAACTGAGGCACGGCCACACTGAATGACTTGCCGAGGACCACACAGCACCACTCATTTGGGCAGGTCACATAAGCGGGCTCTGGTGGCAGCAGGATCACTCCACAACCCAGGCCGGGGGACCGCAGCTGAGGCACAGCAGAGACACCGAACTCCTCATCCAGCTCAGACTGGCAGTGTCCTATGGGCACTCTCAACACTCCTGGCCCACTGCAGACTTCAGTCACAGACATGGTGGGCAGCATGGGGGAACAGGCTCAGCTCCTGCTGACAGTGTCCCCCTCTTTCTGACCTCAAGTTTCCTGTACATCTTGGGGACTCCCCATCCACCCCCACCTCTCCAACCTCACCCAAACTATGGGGGAGCCAATCCTCCCTCCGATGACCTTCAACCAGTAGGGCTGGGTGCAAAGCACCTGCCACCTGTCGTGCAGTGGAAAGCTGCGGGGAGCTTCTGTAGCTTCTCAGTGCAACACAGCCCTGGTTGCCCTCGACTGCTGCTCTGATGACCCCACCCTGTAGTGACCTTCCCTTCCCAGGCTCACTCTCTGCCCACTCCCAGGCCCACCTGCACCAAGTCATTATCCCAGGCTGTGCTTCTGGGGTCCTCCAGGTGGACAACACTCAAAGGTAAGTCCTCGGTTTCCTTATCCCCCTAAAGGTGGTCCTCGGTGCATATAGGAGTGTGGATGAACTGACACATGCTAACTCTAGGCCTAGACTCTGAGACGATTCACAGCCTCTCCCTGGGCTCTCAAAGCCAGAGCTACCCTGTAAAACCTTGCTAGAGACACTGCATGAAGGATCAAACATGGTCCACATCCCAGCCTCCTGCACTGAGGGGCTGGGCACATGAGGACAGGCATCTCAGACCTTCCAAACTCACCCAGCACCCAGGACTCACTGAGGAACATCGTGATCCAGGCCAACACCACATGAAGCAGAAGAAGCCCCCCACAGAGTTCTGCTTGATTTTTCAGCCAAGAAACTTGTGAGATGCAGTAATGAAATGATTGCTGTTTGTTTTGATCTGGATCCGAAATGACCTTCAAAAGTTCTCCCTTTAAGGGATCGATCCCCAATATAGCAATGCACAGAGGTAGGGCCTCCAGAGATGGCTGGATCATGAGGGTGCTGACCTTACCGACATCCTGTGCCATCCATGAGTTCACATGAAGGGCCACCGGGAGGCGGGCACATTGGAGGAAGACGGTCACTGGGGTCATGCGCTGGAAAGGTACAGGCCCTGCACCTCTGGCTGTCTTCCTCACTCTGTACTTCCTCTGCCACACCCTTCCACCATGACAAGCTGCCTCACCACAGCCCAGAAACGATGGAGCCATGGACTGAACTCTCTGTAATCATGAGCCAAAATAAACCTTCCCTTCTTTAAGTTATTATCTCAGGTATCTGGTCCTGACTGTGATGGTTTACAGGTGAATGTCCCCCGAAAGCCTCATGTGATCACAGGTGGGCCTTCTGGGATGATCGGATCATATACTGATTGGTCCACCAATGACTTTATAGTTAATGTGCTGTAAGGAGGGGTGGCCTGGTTAAAGAAGCAGGTCACTGGGAGCTCCCTTCCCAACTCACCCCTTCATTTTCTCCGTTTCCTGGTCACCACGAAGTGACCATGAGGTATCAGGCATTGTATCTCAGTGATGAGGAGAAAGACTAAGACACCAACACACTGTTTGATGCCGCCGTACACTTTAGGGTACAGCAATAGATGCAGTTTTTGTTGCCTGTTATCAAGTGACCTTCAGTGTACTGGGACATACATTTGCACTAACAGAAGTCAGGAAACAATTTCTTAAGAATTACCCTCATTATAGATATAATACACATACATACACATGTACATGAATTTCGGTTCAAATGAATCATCGATACCCTGTTACTGAAGCTAATGTACAACTCATCCCAGCAAACAACTCCTGCAGCAGCATCCTCTCTGGGCACGCCCTGCCTGGGAATCTGTGCTATTTATATAACTTGCAAAGTAAGTGTAACCCAAGTTCCAGGCTATTTTTAAATGTATGGATCATTGTTTTACAATGGAAAGCTGCATTTATAAGATCACTGTTTTCACATGCAAGTTTGAAGGAAAAGCCACCCACAAAGAGAAAAAGGAGCACAGCTTCAAGGCAGAAGTTTGTTTGAGTGTCTTGGATCCTCAGTTTACCCTACTGTAAAGCGGAGAGAATCTTGAAAATATTTCACAGGTGTTATGGTTTGTGTCTAGATGTCCCCCAAAGCCTCATGCAGTCAAGGGCAGGGGGTGGCTTTTCAGAGGCGGCTGGATCTGGAGTGAGTCGTGCTGGGATTAGGGGTGTACGATTACCAAATCAGCCCACTGGGAAGATCTGGGGAGGATACAAAAGGGCCAGAAAGAAGCTGCTATCATCACTTGTGGCTTGCTTGCTTTGCTATCTTCTGCCTGCCATGACCTGTTTCTCTCTGTCTGCCATGCTGCCATGCCTTGGAGCCAGCCAATTCTGGACAGAAACCTCTACAAACTATGAGCTAAAGAAACCTCTTCTCCCTTGACTTTGGGTATCAGATATTCTGTCTCAGCAACATGAAAGGTAAGTGAGAAAGGGTTTTACAAGTCAAATTATGATGTGTACAAGTGGCTAGAACAGTGGCTGGCTTATGGGCTTAGTAGAACTTGTTCAATTTGTTCTCCTCCATTTCTTTGTTATCATCCACTTGTTTCTCTGCCAGTAGGAAAGAGCAACACGGTAGGTGAGGTTCTGCCCTATAGAGCTTGGCCCAACCCAGCCCATGGCCAGCCTTCCATAATCTCTGAACTTGGTCGGCAGTGACCCAATGAATGTCCATGTTCCTCAGGTGCCTGACATCTTTTAAACAGCTGGTTCAAGGGCAGATGGGCCAGCATGCCAGGCACTGGGCGGGCGGGCTCAGAGAACATCTGAAGAAACGCACCTGCCTCTCACAGCTTCCTTGGTGCCATCAGAGCTGAAGTTCTCCAGCGACATGCTCAGCAGGCCTCCCACAGCATCCTGCATCCTGGGTGCAAACAGCTCATTTTCAGAGCACGACAGTCTCTGACTCCAGCTGAGGGGCTTCGATGAGGCCTGGTGTGCGGGGCTCAGACTGGCTGTTTGCACAGCCTTCCTCCGGCCTGGGGGGGAGGGGACAGAGGAAGACAGACACACATAAAGTGATGCCATTTCCATGGCTCTCACACAGCCACTCCAAGCCCTCCTTTCCTGCAGGGAGAGGCTGCTTGCCTGCGATTAATGTGATTAGTCTTGGAGACCCAAGTGCTCCCCATTAGTACCTGTTAATAGACTGTGCTTTGGAAACCTAAGCTTAGCTGACAGACAGGAAGCCCAGGAGCTTGGTTCATGGGGAGAGCCCAAAGCGTTTCCAGGAATGCCAGGGGTGGAAGCAGGGCTTTGGCTGCCACCACAGATCTGTCTCCCAGATGGTCTTATAACAAATGGGACCTCAAATAGCCAGGCTCTCCAATTCGGGCTCCTCCCTGTGGACTCCGAACCTTAACCCTTCATGTGTACACAGCTTAGCCCACCCTGCTGACCCCGCCTCGTGTAAGATTCTCTTTCCTGGAACGTGAATTTGTAGCAGCTGCCTGGGACCCTCAATTCCGACACCTCCTTTCCTCCCTTCACACAGCAAGGCTGCCTAAGTGACTCTGCTCGTGTCCTGAACTTGAAAGCACGGGGGTGAGGGACTCCCCACTACACTAATTATAACATTCATAAAAACTGGGATTCAATCAGTAGGTGGCTTGAGTTAATGAGGCTTTGCATAAAGCCAGTTTTATATTTTGAGAAAGAAAAACATTACCCACAGACCATCTGTTCCGTGCTAAAACCAGGAAAAGAAAGACCAGTGCGCATGTCTGCCTGAGGGCTCATTTTCTCTCTGTGTGTGCATGTCTGTGGGGTCTACGTTTGTGTGTTGATTGGACGTGGGGCATACAGGGTGTGTAGGGGTGCATGTGATGTGAGAACGGTGGTGTGTCCTGGTATCTCTGTATGTGTGCAAGTGTGTGGTAAGCATGTATATAAGATACGTGTGACATGAGAGGGTATTTGTGTGTTTACAGTATGTGTGCAATGTCTTTGTGCATGTGTGTATGCATGAGTAGGTGTAGGATATTTACCTGTAATGTGATGTGCAGAGTGCGTGTGGCATCTGTGTGTGTGTGTGTGGTGAGGTGCATGATGTGCATGTGTGGGTGTGCACCATCACCCCGTGGTGATGGTGACACCCCTTGGCAGGTGGCAGTGGGCACTAGTCCTTCAGACAGCCCTTTTCCCCTTTGCTGGACTCTGGTTCATTGCAAAGCCTGTGCCCACTGAAAATGCCAGGCTTGGGTATCAACACCCTGGGCCTTTCCACATGTGGGATCAGCAAGAGCGGATAGAGGGGTGCGCGTGGTGGGACAGAGGCTGCAGCATGTGCAAGAGCTGCACAGGGTCTCACTCCAGAGCTCAGGGCATTCACGATGACGTGACGTCACATGGTGACATTGGTGCAATGGCACCCAGCCCTGGCTGACAGTTTGCCCATGATGGGCACAGGGGAGCAGGTACACTGGCTCCCACCTTTCCCCTCCCTGGTGGGCACTGTACCCACTTTACAGAGGAGAAAGCCTGAGGCTAAGAGAGAGCTGATAACTTGCCCCAAAGCCAGGAAGTGGTAAAGCAGGATTCCCACTGGAGTCTATGAACTCTACAGTCCATGCTGGACAACAGGACACCAGGCATGCCAAAATGACACCAGCAGCATGGCAGGCATGCCGGCCTTCTGATCACCAGATACGATGGGCTTCATCACAGTGGATGCCACCTCCCTGGGGGGCAGCGTTTCTGCAGAGACCATGGAGGTCGGGTCTCCACTCAGAGAAGTTTAGGGGGCTTGAAGAGTGGACAGGGGAGCCAAGAGCTGATGGCCTTTAAGGAATGAAGGAAGCAAGGTGAAGCGTGTCCCTACGCCAGTGGCACACCACAGGCAGTGGACAGCTCCTGCTCCCCAGTGTGGGTGACTTACAGCACAGCTGTGGCATCCAGGAAGCAATGGGGAGCCCCAAAAGCTCAGTCCAGGTTGGCCGCAGTGTCCAGGCACCCAGGAGACACCCACATGAGACCCACAGCAAGCAGGCAGTGGGGTGGGGTTCTGGGCAGCCACCAACGCCCTGGGAGAGCCAGAGCTTCTCTGAGGTCAGTGCTGCACGCTCTGTGGAGCTAACAGGTCCTGCCCGAGTCAGTCAGTCCCCAAGTGAGACACTTGAAAAGCTCAGCGTGGCCTCTTTCTCCCCAGGGAACAAATGCAACTACAGAGTAACAAGCCACTGAGACAGTTCACGGAAGAATGGCAAAGAAACGTTTGGAAAATGTTCAGCTTCTCGACAATCAAAGAAATGCCAAGCAAAGCAACAGTGAGAAATTGCTTTTCCCTATCAAGAGAGCAGAGATAGGCACAGTGACTTCTACTCCCAGGGGACAAAAGGAATCAGGCAGACATGAAACCCAGACACGGTGCTTGGAAACAACAAGGGCCTTAAAACGCCAGGCTCTTGTACCCCATAATGACGCCCCTGAGATTGGACTCACGGAAAACGCAAGCTGCGGGGAAGCATTCCCTCTGGTGATGCACATCACAATACTGTTTGCAAAGCTTAAATATGAACAGCAAACTCTCAAAACAGGGGGATGATGGTGTCATTATGTTCCCAAATCACCCTGGGCCAGCACTGCCCCGCCCATACCATCTCTCTGCAGGGATGTTCTTCCTGCCCGAAGGGTTTCCCAGTCCCTGGAATACACGCATGGATAAAAACAGGAGAATATTAGGGTGGAGAAGTCACGGGTCTGACCAAAGCAGTGCCCACCCTATCAGACAGGGGCTTCCGGGCGCAGCTGACCAGGAATGCCTTCCAGGGCGCAGGTCCTTAGACTGGGCCTAGAAGGGTTAGGAAGAGCCTCCCAGGTAGAGGCTGCTGAGTCCAGAGGCCCTGCAACCCAGAAGTCCTGATGTGATGTCCCGGAGATCAAGGTAGCACGCACAACCACCAGAGGGCAAGAATCAAAGCCGGGGCTGGGGCCACATGGGTGAGCCCGATGGGTTCGTCACCCCGAGGGATGTGAACCTGTCTCTGCAGGCAGCACAGCTCCGCTGACAGCTTCTCACTGCAGAAAAACATGTTTGAATGGGTTCTTTCTAGAGGCCACTTTGAAGGTGACAAAGGACATTCAAAGGATGTGAGTCCCAGTGGGAGCACCTGGTGGCAGGTGGGGTAGAAAGGTGGTGCAGGGCCACACTGCCAGCTTCCTAAAAAGTGGGTGGATGGGTGGTTTGATTTAACAAGACAAAGACCATGGCAGAGGGGCTCATGGGGAGGGAGGGTTGAGCAGGAGAACACTGGGAGGTGGCAGCTTTTGGCTACACGGTCACTGAAAATGGGCACCTGTGTTTATAGTGACACAACTGTCTCTCTCTGTCTATGCCCATCCACAGCTAAATGGATGCGGAAAACGTGGTATTCCAATAGCCACTGAAATTGACAAGCAACTCCAGGAAGCTTTAAAGAAATTCAAACTCGAAATAATCTCCCAGATAAAAGAAGAAATGATAAAAGAAATGAAAGAGATTCTAAATATATCTAAAGAAAACACAGATAAAAAATTGGAGGAACTAAACAAAAAGATAGAATCCCTAGACGAGCAATATAAGAAACAAACAGAATACATAATGCAGATGCACAGAGATATACAGGAAATAAAAAACTCCACTGAAAGTTGTAAAAACCGCCTTAATGAAAGTGAAGATAGAATTTCAGACCTTGAAGACAGGATTGCAGCTAGTGAACAGGAAAGGAAAGATCTTTTGAAAATAACAAGGAACCAGGAAACAACAATTCAACAACTGCAAGACGATGCAAAGAAGAATAACATAAGAATGATAGGGATTAATGAAAGAGAGGGAGACAACATGAAGGATGTCAGGAGGATATTTAGAGAAGTAATAGCTGAAAATTTCCCAAGCATGAGATCAGAAACTGACATCAGGATCAGTGAAGCATATAGAACTCCAAACAGTCATAACCAAAATAAAACTACACCCAGACATATAATAATCACCATCCCAGAAATCCAACACAAGAATAGATTATTAAAAGCTGTCAGAGAGAAAAGACAAATCACTTATAAAGGAAAACCTATCAGAATCACAGCAGACTTCTCAGCACAAACGATAAAGTCAAGAAGAGCATGGAGTGAAGTATTCCAGATCCTAAAGCAAAATGATTTCCAACCAAGACTGATATATCCTGAAAAACTATCATTCAAAATAGATGGTGCAATACGATACTTCCATGACAAAGAACAGCTGAAGAACTTCATGAACACCAAACCAACCCTGCAAAAAATATTGAAAGACAGTTTAGATACACAAAGGAAAAAACCACTAAGCAAAGCAAATAATTAAACAGAACCGAAAGACAAAGATGCAACAGCAGAGAGATAACATTCCTACAATTAACCAGCATTTAACAGTAATAACCATTAATGTAAATGGTCTCAATGCACCAATCAAAAGAAACAGACTAGCAGAATGGATCAAGAAACAAAATCCAACCATATGCTGTTTACAGGAAACCCATCTAACTCAGAAAGATACTCACAGACTGAAAGTCAAAGGATGGAAAACAATTCTTCATGCAGCAGGAATCCAAAAAAAGGCAGGAGTAGCCATTCTGTTTGCAGACAACGTGAACTTTAAACCAACAATGACCATAAAGGACAAAGAAGGTCACTACATACTCGTAAGGGGAAAACTCCAAGAGGAAGAGATAACTATCTTAAATATATACGCACCAAACTCCAGAGCACCCAGTTATATAAAACAATTATTAACAGAAATGAAAACTCAAATTATCAGTAACACAATTGTAACAGGAGACCTTAATACACCACTGACACCAAGGGACAGATCAACCAGACAGAAAATGAGCAAAGAAATAACAGAACTGAATCACACCTGTGAACAAATGGGTTTGATAGACATATACAGAATGTTCCACTCAACAACATCAGAATACACATTCTTCTCAGCAGTACATGGATCATTTTCTAAAATAGACCATATATTAGC